AACTACAATTTCTACGAGTTGTACTTCATCCTCCGTTACAACACTGCAGCTCCCTTATAAAATCCAAGGCTATATCATAATCGTACATAGGACGTTTATTACGCCTTGAAGGGTACTTCTACCAAGCCCTGCAAATTCACTGAAGTAGAATTTGGATTATTGATATCTCCTGGAGGTGCCATATTTACTAGCATCATACAGCGGTCCAAGGCTGTCTCAGCATTTCTGCAGCTGGTTTTCCCAAGCAAGGTGTATGAAAGGGTGAATCTGTAGCAAATGTTATCTCTAGCAGACCCAAGTGTCAATATTCATCGAGACCTCTCACCGCAATGCACTTGGACAAGTCATGCTGTAATTGTTATTACTATACAAACGTGTGTATGTATGAGATATATATTATACACATACATACACACCGTATTTGCCGGCGTATAAGATGGGTTTTGAACCCCCCCCTCCAGAAGGAAGGACAGTGTCAGCACCAATTCAGAGATGATTTGAGGATCTACAGCCGAATGATACACAAGATGCATTTCTGTTCGCTGTTAGGGTACGTCTTTTTTAAGATTTAACTCCTGATTTTAGTATCACTTTAATAAAAGGCCGATGTGTCTTTTTGGTTCAACAGAATATTTAAACAATAAAACAAATAAAAATTTCATGGACAAAAATGATGGAACCCTTAACCCAATATTCAGTATCGCACCTAGGCGACTGAGCTGCTGAACGTTTTTTGTTTGCACGACTGTTCTTTGAAAACCGCATGGTTTTCAATGCATAGAGATGTCTATGGGACCCAAACCGCATGACAATGCCCGAAAATAACTCCTGTACCTTTTTGCGCGACAGGTCATTATCCTGTTGACAGACCCGTGACCTGCGGCTGAGACACTGGGCGGTATGTTTTGCAATGGGATTGCTTTATAGCCTTGAGATTTCATAGTGCCCTGTATAGATTGAAAGGCTCATTGTCTGCACACGATCTGCTTTAGAATGTTGTCTTTGTTAACGTTCTTGCACCATGAAACAAGTCAATGCATTGTTTTGGGACCGCACATGGTCCCTTCATGAGGCAAAAATGTGTTTTCCACACTCTGGTCATTGGTTTACCTTTTATTTATAATTACTCATTCACTAACTTGTTATCTCTCGTCTTGATTATTGCAACTCCCTCCTCATTGGACTACCCCTCCACAGTCTCCTCCCCTCCCCCCATACCAAACGCTCAGTGTCTGCAACCCCCCCTCTGCCAATCCCTGCACTGGCTTCCAATTTCCCAACAGATCAAATTCAAAATATTAACCGCTTACAAAGCCATCCACAACTCTGTCCCCGGATATATTTCCAACCTTGTCTCAAAATATCACCCTAACCGTCCCATCCGCTCCTCCCAAGACCTCCTGCTTTCCAGCTCCCTCGTCAACTCCTCCCATGTTCGCCTCCAGGACTTCTCTAGATTCTCTCCTGTCCTCTGGAACTGTTTACCCCAACCTGTCCATCTATCCCCCACTCTGACTGCCTTTAGGCGATCCCTTAAGACTCATCTCTTTAGCGAAGCTTATACCACCTCAACCTAAACACTCAACCATCACGTTGTCAAACAATTCATCCCCACACAGCTAACTCCTCATGTATCACTTCCCCCTCTGTTTTAGATTGTAAGCCCTCAGGGGTAGGGCCCTCCCTACCATCTTGTCTTGAATTGTATTGTGATCGTAATGTCTTCCTTGTATTGTAAAGTGCTGTGCAAACTGTTGGCACTATATAAATACTGAATAATAATATTGCACTGCTATATAAAATGTATGTATGTATATTGACTTCTAACATGCTGCAAGAACATTAATAAAGATGACATTCTGAAGCAGTTTGGTGTGCAGACAACATATATTTAAGTGTATGTTGTTGTTCCAGCACCTAAGGTATTCAACAGAAGGGATCCATCAGTATGTTCTGTTTATAGATGCAGTAAAGCAGCCCCAAACATGACTGAGCCTTCTCCATGTTTTACAGTTGGTACGGTATTCATGCTTTGAAAGTTTCAGAATGGAGTTTTTTTCAGAATACAATAGCTAAAATGGGAGATGTCCAAACAGCTGCTGAAAATGGAAATAATTTCCTTTTAGGTGCTGACTGTGTGCCTCAAATTTCGGTGGCGCTTTGGTATATCAATATTGACCCATTTCTAAACCTGCTTAGCCCAGCACTTTGATGGCCACTGTCTCATTGGCTAGTTATGGAGTTAGGAGGCAAAATGGGTTAGGGCCACCGTCTCCATCTTACCCAGAAAGCTGGGTCAGTATTTGTATAGCATACCGCCCCTAGAAGGTTGACTCAGAAAACAGACCTGGTGTGCAGGTGCCTGGAGGTGCCTGTAGCAGTTCAGATGTTTTTCCCCAAAATGTTTTTCCCAAAATGTATGCTTGCCTTAAGCAGCTTGGTGCATATTGAAAGCCGGTCCTTTTTACTTAAATGGTTCCATAGGAGAACGTGGGTCACGACCCTGCCCGTCTCCTTTTCTTACAGATGAACTTTGTTGTAGAAGAGTGAGACGCGGCTACGTGTTGTTCTGCACAGGCAGAAGTGTAGATGGCATGAAAAATCAGTCTTTGCAGAAAGCCACAGGATAAAAAGTCATTTTAAGTGCCAGAGAATGGATCACTGCATTTATGATTCTGTGATTGTTTGGAGAGCTGCCAAATGTTGGATCTTTCCCTATATTGTGCTCCAATATAATTCCATTTATTGAGAGCATAATTGCACTGCTAAACCAAGCTTTTGTTGTGATCTCTGCAATTTGCTCTGCAGTTAAAAACCTACAAGATTATCTGACCCCTTGCGGAGATTTGATATAATATAAAATGAATAGAATTATCAGGTTGAAGTGCTGTGGTAGATGATGGCACAGCATAGCTCTCAACCTCGGGGATACGCATTATTATTGTTTTATATGCAACCTGCTAATTTAACTGGCTTAATAAAATAATTTTTTCCACCAGTGTAACAACTTTAGGCATAAAAGAAATCCGTCAGTGGCCATGTAGAAGATACTGCCATTGGGACTTCCTTCTGAGACCTGTAAGCAGATATCATGCGATAGATGAAATGCCAAATTGTAATGGAACCAGTTTAAATCAAACCTGTACTTAAACTCTAAAGCTCTCCTTCCCTGCTGCTTATACTTGTCTACTATTCTCTCCCATGCCGTGCTGTTTTCCTGTAGGAGCAAAGAGAAATACGGTGTGCTTTACACCACTGCATCCGACGCTTTGCATTGCACTTAGTAATGTAAGGCTTGGATGCAGCTGCTCGGCCATGGAAACCCATTCCATGAAGCTCTCTACGCACTGTTGTTGTGCCAATATGAAGGCCACACGAAGTTTGGAGGTCTGTAGCTATTGACTCTGCAGACAGTTGGCGACTTCTGCGCACTGTGCGCTTCAGCATGCGCTGACCCCGCTCTGTCATGTTACGTGGCCTATCACTTCGTGGCTGAGTTGTTGTTCCCAGTTGCTTCCACTTTGTTATAATACCACTAACAGGTGATCGTGGAATATTTAGTAGCAAGGAAAATTCACGGGAACACCGGAATCCAATGATTTGGCAATATAGTGTATCTGATACTTCCATGTATGGGCCGTATGCTACTCTCTCCCCCTCCTTACCGCAGTTCAGCCTTGGCTGCCTTGTTGGCAAATGGTCAGGTTCCAACACGGGGCTGCGGAGAGAGTTCTTAATATTGTGTAAGCTTTAACAAGAACGGCTTTGAGCTCACACAAGGTTTCCCACTCTGCAGGAGAACTGGGTGCTAGGGAAGGGAAGGTAAATATAAGGAGCATGGATGGAGGGGGGTGTTTAAGGGAACTTGTTGCATTACATGCATGATTAAAGCCCAGGTTTACTTTAAATTTGGGTAGCACATGTCACTGGGATTTGTGAGTTATTCGGTTTGAACACCTCTTTCCTTTAAAAATATGTGGGCTGCCATTGCAGCACTGCTTTTGAAAATGCAAATTGCTTGGCTGTATTACTTTCCAACCCTCTGGCTTTACTACTAGGGGCTGCATTAAAAAAAAAAATCCACCCTGTGTATAGCCGGACCAACGCCATTAGCAACATCTAAGTGCGGTAAATTTCTATACTCGTTATCGCTATCTAGGGATTCTAGTGTCATGTGAGCAGCATCGGCCCGGCTGTACTCCAAGTGAAACTTTTCCTAAATTAAGCCCTATGGGTCACTAACCCAGAAAAAAATAAGCAAATTAAGACTTTTTTTAATTCTGTATTTGCAATAAAAAGTACAGTTACATACTTGTGTGATTCCACTACAAAGACCTTTTAGAACCCATTCTCATTAGCAGCATACTAAAATTGAGCAGTTTTAGCTCCCCTTGCAGTGACTGGCATTGATCAAGAGCAGAACGACGCCAGCGATTGCTGTGTGGTGGAGGTGGTCCTTTTGCATTCTTGCACATCAAGGCACTTTTTTTTTTTTTACTTTATTGTCAAACTAACATTTCATTCATTCCTATTCTCTGCTGTGGTGAGAAAATAAATGGTGACTTCAGGTGAGCTCTGCATCCCACCAAAGGTAGTGCTGCAGTGTGAAGATGGCACATAGAAATTGACACTGTGCCCTTCCGATGACTGGTATTGATCAAGAGCAGAATAACGCCAGTCACTGCACATGGTGTGAACTACCCATACTAAGGCAACCTGGATAGGCATCCATATTTTCCTCACACTTGTATCACACAGTGATGCGTAGTATGCCTACATAGTAAGTAGCCACATACAGCGTAATCTATGAGTTGGTTTGAACACTGGAGTTAGTAGACTTTTCTCTCAGAGATCTGTTGGCCCCGGTGTCCGATCGCAACTGAAGGTGTTCCTAGATTGTGACCGTCACTTGACCTGACTAAAATTAACCATACTCGCCCTTGGTATTGAAACTCTACGCGTTCACCACATAATGTATCTTTTTGTTTTTTTCTTCGCAGGTACACCATCTTACCTCCTGGATATACATGTTAGTATGGACAAGTGCCGCAGTCGACCTCGAAGACCCGACAAAGCCTTATATGTGCCAAAAGCCAGGCGAAATACAGATGAGCCACCCAGTGGAGGAGACCCTTGTTCCGAACACCCTCCTGCTTTTGTTTCCGAATCTCCTGTCCAAAAAAGACACACAAACACCAAAGCTGACTCCCGGGTCTATGAACACGGGAAACAGGGGAGCAAAAATGCAAAGTCCCCAGTTCTAAAGAAAAATTCTCAACACAAAAATGACAAGGAGCTAATTTGCACTCAAACAGGGACTACAGAAAATGATTACTTGTGTGAGGGTGTTAATAACCTAGTCCTCAATGAGGAAACATCACCAGGCTCAGTGCAAAACGATGTGCCCACATCACACACTGTTCCCTCTGCTGCAGCTCACGCAGGTTTCTTTTCAAAGGAAGAGGAACAGCTTGATGTCCAAAGCAGATCTGCCAGCCAAAGTCTAGGCGAACAGCATGAAAATATGACACAAGGGTCAATAGAAAGCCTAGTGGAGCGAGATAGGATGACGGTAAAAGCACAAGATCAAGGAATGTGTCAGTCTAGAAAGACATCTTCATTAGATGTAAGTATAGAGGATCCAAAGCGATCCAAACATATAGCTGTGTCAGCGAGCACCATAGACCAGGTAGCAGGAGGCCCAGTGTTTACATGCCAGCAGGAAGTGATAGACTTACCGGCAAGGACCATACTTCACGGCTGTGAACACAAAGCACACAATATAGACAACACGACTAATCAACAAAAATCAGTTTTATTCCACAGCACAGATTGCACTGAAATAATTACTACAAGTGAGATTGTTAGGGACCCGCTTGGACAGCTTGCAACAGTCTGCTCGAGCGATGCAGATAACGAAGCTAATGTCCTCCTCTATGAAAAGCCAGAAAGTATTGAGGGAAGAAAATTGGATTCCATTCCTGCAATAGCAGAGGATGTCTCGGAGCTTGCAGAGGGGGATAACAGTGCCATTGTGTGTGCTATTGAGCCCAGCATCAGAGCGGCAGATGAACACATCGCAGATTTAAAAGCGTGCTTGTCTGTAAACGAGGGTGGATTACATGGCATACATAATTCTAAATTGTCTGGGAACAGTTCTGCAGCACACATTAGAGTACAGAATCCCAGTGAAAATGCTAGAAAGGTTGAAGCTGAGTGCGAGAATAGTCCTAGTTCTTTTTCCCATGCACATATACAGCAGGAAGGAAGGAGGCACATAACTGAAGGCAGTAGAGACCTATTTGACAATCCTGTATTAGATCAATTTGTAGACATTCTACCGGCTGTTGTCACTGCGGAGCAAAATCAATCTGCAGCCAATGTAGAGTCATTACCATGTGTGGCAAGCATGGAGGAAGAAGAACCATCAAGGACTGAGCCCAATTTGGATAGTGAGCAAATGCCACTGGCAGCTGTGGAACAGGTTTCCCCTTCAGAGACCGTGGAACTGTTGGTAAGTTCCCCTGAAATTGTTGGCTCCGCCGAATCATCTGATTCACATGCAGAGCAGGCGACCTTCGAGGAGCACGTGCCATCTGTCAGTGAAGCCACTGAAGGAGATGAAGACTCAATGACGGCGAGGAATGCGAAGCCAAATCCTGACGGAGGTTGTTCAAACTCAAAGAAACTCTCAAAATGTTTTGCTGATCCGAAAGAAAACACTTCAACTGGAACTGAACTAATAGGAAGTCGATCTGTGGTGGCTGTGGAAATGTCGGAGAATGTGGCTACTGTTGCAGCTAATGATGATGAGGAGGAAAGCTGGGACTCCCTTTTCAATGATGATGGGGACTGTGTTGATCCTCAACTTCTGACAGAGGTATGTGGTTTTGCAGTTTAGCCTTGGTCTTTGTAGCATTCCAGTTAATGAGCCCGCCACCTGCTAACTTTGGGTCACAGGAATGCACTAGCAAATATACTGCTGTGACCCAACACTGAAGTAAAGCTGGACAAATCCCAGGAGCCATGTTGCCAATGTTCCTTAAAAATTACAGCTGGTACCCATCTTTAGAGTTTTTCTCTAGCTGTTAATGGAGATGGACCCTGAACAAAATATCCTGCTGGCTCCTGAATTCAGTATTTGTGTCATTTGAGTGACAGTACTGAGGCTGCTGACATCACATCCAAGATGGCAGCGCCCGGCAGAAGTCTCAGGGCTTTTGGATGACTCCACATGGGAGGCTTTAAAGATTAATAACCTGCCCGAAATATGTGACTTTAAAGTCTATTTCCCCACCCCCCAATTCTGCTGTGAGGAATTGCCTTAAGTGATACCTCTTGATCCAATCGTCTTCTGCCTTCCAGTAGTTTCCAGCAGTCCCTCCAGCGCTGGTGCCTGTCTCTGATCCAGTGCTGACTGCTGTGTCCCGCGGAGCCTGTGCGCTGCCTGCATTGACTTACGCTGTGTCTCTCTTCTGTGTCTCTCGAAGGATCATGGGGTGAATCAGCAAAAAGTTTCCCAGCACACTCACCAGCCAGCATGCAAAAAAAAAACTGTTTAACCGCTAAGGTAAAAACAGAGGTTTTAGATACACGTCTTCTGCAGAATATGTGAAAGCCGCACAGCCTCACCAAGGCCCCTCTGTGTAGTGCGGTCCTAACTCTAACCTATGAGAGTCTCCATCTTGGTGCAGTGAAACACTGGGGGTCTCAGCTGCTGTTGTGATGTGCGGGGTCCCTTGTGTGTCCCTGTGCCCTTAAGGAGGTTGGGCTGCCTCCTGGCGAACTTGCACCCAATTTTATCTTTTGCTACATGTGCTCCAAGATGGAGACTCTCATAGGTTAGAGTTAGGACCGCACTTCACAGAGGGGCCTTGGCGAGGCTGTGCGGCTTTCACATATTCTGCAGAAGACGTATATCTAAAACCTCTGTTTTTACCTTAGCGGTTAAACAGTTTTTTTTTTGCATGCTGGCTGGTGAGTGTGCTGGGAAACTTTTTTTGCTGATTCACCCCATGATCCTTCGTGGCCGCCCGAGAATCTTCAAAACTTTGGAGCGGAGTGTGCGGCAGAGACACAGGTAAGTAATAACTAGGGATGCAGCGACACCGTTATTTTGGTACCGATAATTTTTTTTTCTGGTACGCGCCGAAACCAATTACCGAGTAACGGAAGTCCCATTCAGGAAGCCAGGTGGCGTGTAAAGACTCGCCACCCGGCTTCCCGATTTAACAATCAAGTCTGTCCCCTCTTAACTTGTCCAGCCTGTCCCCCCCCCGGGGCCTCTCCAGCCAGAACGCGGCCTTCCTCCGGTACATACTCGTACTCGCCCAAATACTCGTTATTGTCACCGATATCGATACTAGTATCGGTGCATCCCTAGTAATAACCTTTTTTGGTAACTTTTTTTATTTTATTTTTTATTATTTATGATTTTGCATATATCTACTGCTTGCCAGCAGTAGATTTATGCAAAAAGCCCACAAAGGTTTAATTGTACTTTAAATAAACATTTAACCTTTATAGGGAGATTGTAGTTGAAATTATTGTTCTGCTGACCGGGTCCCTTTTTGTAAACCGCTCATGTATAAAGAAAATTTAAACTGACCAAAATGTCAAAAGCAAATGTCACCGGTTGCCTGTAGGGATGCACCGATACCACTTTCCGAGTACGAGTACCGATACTTTTGATCAAGTACTCGCAGATACCAATTACCGATACTTTTTCTTAAATGGACAGGTCACATTTTCTCTCCCGTTCATTGAAGGACACAGGCAACAGATCGTAGATCCTGAATGGTAGGGTAATATCGCCACCTGCAGGAGAAGGACGCTAGGCACAAAACTAAAGACCAATTACAGCCTAGGGGCGGCCCCTGCCGGTGGCCAAACCCCCCACCTGCTGACAAGTCTCCAGTTTTTTGCCTAGCGTCAGGAGTAAGGAGCTAAAAAAATTTTCTCTGGAGAATTTTTTTTTTCCTTTCTTCCGTTTTGATTTGATTTTTCTTCTAGCAAGTGTCCCCAGGGCGACAGGCTGGATGACTAGATCCTTGTAGTCTCCCCTGGGTGACCGACGAGCGCATGCAGACTCTGCTACGGTGGGTCGGCTGCGACTGGTGGTCCTCCCCGACGCCTATGGGATTCGTCCCAGGGGGGGGCTCCTGACCGGGGGCTCCGGCCCACCGGTCGCGGCTCTCCCCGCAGGCTGGCGGCGCCGCGACTGCTTTGTGACATCATCTTCTTGAGCCCTCCAGAAGCTTCAGCTCCCAAGTTACTCAATGTCATTGTCATGTTCAGATCCAAAGTTGGAGTTCTGGTCTGTCCTCCACAAATGTACAATTTTCACCTTTTTTTTTGTAAACATGATTTTGCGCTGTCATTATTATTTTGGTAATTAAATTAATGTTTTTTTCTTAGTTTCCCGGCAACATATTTTATTATCCAGTGTAACCTTTTTTAATTAGTTCACTTTTAATATTCTGCATTTTGAAAATGTAATTTCTGTTTTACTTCTTTTAGCTGACAGTGAGAGGGAAAAACCATCAGAGCAGAGAGGAGTCTCAATTTAACTATTATGACTATGATCCTAAAGAACCAGCCATGGATGATCTAGAACTGTCACATGTCATCGAGATCTATGACTTCCCTGCTGAGTTTAAGACCGAGGATTTACTCCGTGCATTTGCTACTTACCAGTGAGTCTTGTCTCTTAATGCCGTACCATTTCTCTTACTCATTAATTATGCAGCACAGAAGAATATTAAGTGTCTCTGTCAAATGGATATGATTGAATATGGCTTATTTAAACATTATCAGGCTAATTTAATAGAGGTAAAAGAAGTGAGGCGCTGTGCTGAAAACCTCTGGCAACAAGATTTCTGTTATTACTGCAGGAGAATTGGTGAAAGCGTGAGTTATGTATAAAGCACTTTCCACAATGCTCCTTACATTTATTCTGTAGCAATGTGTAAGTAGCAGATTGTAAAATTTAACTTTTGTTAGGTTTGCATTTGCAGCTTATATACTTATGTGGTCTTTATTATGTTATCTATAATAGCAGCACACCCTGTTCTTTAATGTAGCACTGTTCTTTGCCCTGTTGATAAGTGGTACATGTCAGGTATTAAAAGTAGATTTTTTTTTTTTTTTTTACAACCCAACCCAAAATCACATGAATATTCCCCCGTGTCCTACCTACCATTCCGTCTCTGTTTTACTTTAAAGGAGAACTATGGGGTTAAGGCTTTTCCCCATAGTTCTCCTTAGGGTAACGGGAGGACACAAACTAGCGGCTACAGAGGCTACACGCATCTAGCGGCTACAGAGGCTACACGCATCTAGCGGCTACAGAGGCTACACGCATCTAGCGGCTACAGAGGCTACACGCATCTAGCGGCTACAGAGGCTACACGCATCTAGCGGCTACAGAGGCTACACGCATCTAGCGGCTACAGGGGCTACACGCATCTAGCGGCTACAGGGGCTACACGCATCTAGCGGCTACAGGGGCTACACGCATCTAGCGGCTACAGGCATCTAGCGGCTACAGGCATCTAGCGGCTACAGGCATCTAGCGGCTACAGGCATCTAGCGGCTACAGGCATCTAGCGGCTACAGGCATCTAGCGGCTACAGGCATCTAGCGGCTACAGGCATCTAGCGGCTACAGGCATCTAGCGGCTACAGGCATCTAGCGGCTACAGGCATCTAGCGGCTACAGGCATCTAGAGGCTACAGGCATCTAGCGGCTATAGAGGCTACACGCTTTTTTTTTTTTTGAAGGACAACTATGGGATGACTGAAATTCGTAAATTCGGAAGCATCGAAATCTGAATTGCAATGCTTCCGAATGTATCCGAAATACGAAATTCCGTTGACGAATTTCGGATCCGAATTTAGTTGAAATGGTAACTAATCTTACCCCTGTGACTGAGGTTTTTTTTTTTTTAAATCTGAAATACGAAATTCCGTTAAACGAATTTCGGATCTGAATTTTGTTAACGATATTTCGTGCCTGTAATGCAACCCTCAGCAGCAGAAGAAAACCTCTGATTGGTCAACCAAACAGTCACGTTTCCATTGTAACGGAATTTCGTATTTCGGATTAAAAAAAAAAACTACCATCGACTCCAATATTAACAAAGTTATTTTTGCTTTTTAACTTCATCATAACGAATGTTCGTAACGTTACGAAAAAGTTACGAAACTAACGAAAATTCATATTTCGTACGAATCCGAATGGAGTTTAGTACACTAAATACGAAATAACGGATATTCCGAAACGAAACAAATTTTTTGACGGCGCACAAGTCTAGCATATAGCGGGCAATAGCCTGATATATGCTGAGCTTTGGGTCACAGGAGGACATTAGTGACTCTAAGGAGAACTTTGGCCATAAATGTTTCGCCCATAGTTCTCTACTAACTCTCAAGATCAATGTACTGATGTAAAGAATCATTGTGCCACTCAAGTAATTCTTCTCTGCTATAACTGGGGAATGCTGTGTTTTTTTTTTTTTCCTCATCAGGAAGAAAGGTTTCGACGTAAAATGGATTGATGATGCACATGCCCTTGGTGTGTTCGCCAGTCCAATCGCAGGTATAGCAGGCTTTATTTTTTATTTAGGACCTAAATCTTCATGTTTCTTTCTACATTTTGGCTTGGCAAAACAAAGTTGTCCTAAGCACTGGGCGGCTTATGTATATCGTATACGCCAGACCTTTCTTGGGCATTAAAGGAGAACTATGAGGTGAGTGATTTTCACTCATCCTCATAGTTCTAGCCGACCTGTGACAATGAGACTGCCACAGGTCGGCTCAGTAGATCAGGAGGTGAGCGAACACATACCGGCGCTCGCTCACTTCTCAATCCTGTCGCTGCAGAGAGCCGTGACAGGGGAGTGGCTGGATTCCCCCCTCCCCGCTCCGATCTTCCAGCGCTGACTGGCGGAACGGACGGGGGAGGGGGCGGGTACAGCTGGCTCTGCCTCTAGATAGGCAGAGCCAGCTGTCACTAACGCTGCTGGGCGGATCCAGACATAATTGTCAGGATCCGTTTCAGCTGCGGCGTCTCAGTATACCGCGAGCTGTAGCTCGCGGTATACTGAGCTTTGGGCGACTGGAGGACGCTAGTTTGTGTCCTCCCGTTACCCTTAGGAGAACTATGGGGAAAACGCTAACCCCATAGTTCTCCTTTTAGATTCAGCCGGTCATTGTGTAAGAATTTGTTCATTATATTTTTGCAAGTTTTATTTTATGGTTAATAAAGTGACAAAATATATGGTTTGTCCAATCTCCTTTAGAGTAACAAACAACTGTACAGTGCAAAGGTCCCTCCTAACTGGATATAAATTGAATGGATTGATTTAGTAGCCTCTTGTACTACAAAGCTACAGCTAAATCAAGATCCACAGATTGTACAATCCGATTGTAACATGCTTGGCCAGCAGCTTTACTTGTATAGTTCTACTTTGTCTTTGACTGACGCTGGTGCTGTGCCTTGGCATTTTTAGCTTTAACAGCTATGCCCTATACAGTGTCTGATGTAATGCTCATAGCACTTGCTGTCTCCTGGCTCCTGAAAGTGCATAACAGCATCAAATCGCGGGCTTCCGGTTCCGGCTCCCATGTAACTGGCGGCTGGGAGACAGCGCTCCGTCCACAGCACTTAAACGGCTTATAAATACCGGCCAGCGGCACACTCACCCATAGCCCCGAGCGGGTTGAGAGGCTCTAGGGGTCCATATGGATCGGTTCCTGGAAACCAGAAACGTAACCAAGTTCTGCGTCAGCTCTGCAGACTGCGCGCAGACGTTGCTCTGTTGCAAGAGACACACTTGAGGGAGGACGACTTCCATAGAATGCGTAAAACTTGGGTGGGGGAAGTGTTTGGGTCGGCGTCAGACGGCAGAAGGGCAGGGGTGATAATCTTAATGCATAAAAGTCTTCAGTACACTGTCTTGAGCATAAATTTTTATGACCATCATTTTCTCGGACCTTTTGCTATCTAAAGCTGGTCATACACCTATAGATTTTCTGCAGAGTTTCTATGGTCCGATGGAGAAAGTGCAACAGATTCCTCCCATCTACGCTAAATTGTGTGTATCGAGCAATCTCCCGCTGGGCCAAGCTTCAGTATCTGCTGACTGTCAAAATACCTGAACATTGCCTGCATCCATTCAGATTGTTCAGGCATTTTGGCAGCCAGCGGGCCGACTAGCAAGATACTGAAGCTTGGCCCAGTGGGGAGATTCCTCCATCCACACAGTTTAGCGCAGATGGGGGAATCTGTTGCACTTTTTCCATCTGACCATAGAAAATCTGCAGATAATCTATAGGTGTATGGCCAGCTTTGTGACAGCAAGTCTTCTTATAGTAGCTGCGGGCAATCAAGATGGTCAGTGGGCATGTCGGCATGGCTGATTTAAAGCACACCGTGTGTGTATACACACACACACACCGTTCCAGCATGGATTTGCTTCATGGGACTGGCTGGCTCACCAGGTAGGACATTATATAAATAAAAATAACATGCAATAGTAGGGAAAAAGTTGGCAGTTGCGGACTTTCACTATTAATGTTTACAGGAATATTCAATACTACAATTGCAGCACACACTGCCTCTGCTCTTCTCACACAATGTGTTGGTAGAGTCCCATAATATTGGATTAAAAACATGCACCAATTACTGTATTCCTTGCTTTGTTTATTGTATTTTTTGTACATAGACATTTTTAGGGTGTGACCTCTGACTTTAATGGTTTTCCTTCTGTCCCACAGCCCGTGATGCATTAACATTTAAAAATCCTATGCTAAAGGTACGTCCACTATCACAGGCCACCCGAGCATCCAGAGCCAAAGCCCGAGCTTGTGCTGGTAAGATGATTTCAAGTGTTGTTTGCCTTATTAAAGCATAAGTTGACCCTTGTTTTGTTTACTGCATACAGGGTTAGACAGATTCCTGCAGCCAATGGGTAACAAGCAGTTAAGATGCAAAATCTGGGCTTAGGAGGGCATACCACATAGTTAGAAACAGAGGCCAACTTGATGCTGATTGGCATGTAGCCAGCCTCCCGGCCAATCAGGGAGGCGGGTCATTACTTGCCGCCCAGCTTCCTGATCTCACTGGAAGCTGGCTCAATGTTCCCCCTATGGCACTGGAAATCTTCCTCTGACCAGAAGTTCCGGTATCGGGGAAGGTATCGGAGCATTTTGGCGAGTACAAGTACTTGCCCAAATACTCGGTATCGGCACCGATACTAGTATCGGAATCTGTGCACTTGTAGAGGTAATTGGGGGAGGGGACCTTTTTAATGTCACTTTAAGGTGCGTTGCTGCATACAAATGAATACGCTGCATAACGCACCAAGAAAGGTGCTTGAGCTGTTTTTAATGCAGTGCACCACAACGCCTGGTAATGTGTTTCCAAGTGTTGTGGGCTGCAACGCATGCGGGTTAGCAAGGTGCATTGGGTAGCCATAAGGAATGAAGAGCTAGCTAGAAGTTGGTTGGTTTTACTTCACTTGTTTTAAGTAAGAAACCCAGACTGGGGGGAGTATTGAATACAAGAGATGGTGGACAGCTACCGGTAGCATTTTCTGGAGGAGGTCAGCTTTAGCAACCTACACGCTCCTGTCAGCACAGGTTTCCTTCAAGCTTATGAGCCATTGCATGAATCGTTCTTTGTACTACTTCCAGACACGCCATCTATTAATACTTCATAATCCGAGTGGTCAGTTTCCTTCAAATCCAAATGTCCCTAAAATATTACTGCAAGTAGTCATGCTTTTTGCCTTTCTGCGCACAGTGCGTGGTGTTTTGTCAGGTGCAATGTGTGGAAATGAAGGAGATTCAATGACCTTCACAGGGAGCTGACTGTTTAAGGAAGAACTCCTGTTAAAAATGTTAACCCTTGCAGTGGGACTACCTCCACACTGCAAGGGTTAAGTGCTCGATTTTTTTCCCCCCCTGGACTTCTTTAAATTAGCATCCCTTCGGAGTCTTTTTGGAGATTGTTGATCGCGTGTTGCTTTGCCTTTTGATATTATGCTCGTTAGCAGAAGCTGAAAAATGTTTATCTAGTTTTTCCTTTTTAAATAAAAGGTCACAAATAATTCCGGATAGGACAGTTTAAAGTGCATGTCTAGGCAAAATAAAATGCATGTTCAGCACATCTCTGCAATACATGCACATTTCCCCTTGACTTTTCTCTTTTTAAAAATGCTGCAAATACAGAAAAATACCCATTTGTCTGCCAGAAATCCAGTGAGCTCCTGACTTCTGTTGTCTGCTGACAGTGCTGCCTCTGCTGCACTGAAATCTGTAGCAGTGCTGGCAACCCTGTCTAAGTTCTCACCTGCTGGAGTACAGAACACATCTCTACTTATCTCTACAACTTAAGGCAGGGAAGACAACACACCAGTGACAGTGCGTTGCGGCCTGATTCTGGCCAGAACGCATTGCCTTGCGACCGGCTCACTATGTTGTGGGGCAGGATGGAGCGTGGTGGATCATTGAAGTGAATGGCACCGTAGCCACGCCCTCTGACCGCAATGCGATCGGCCGCATGGGAACGTAAGGCACATCATGCCTGCGGTCCGGTCCGAACAAAATGCTGCGAGCCCTATTTTGTTCAGACTGGACCGGACCGCAGGCATAATGTGCCTTACGTTCCCGTGCGGCTGATCGCATTGTGGTCAGAGGGCGTGGCTACGGTGCCATTCACTTCAATGGACCACCACGCCCCCTCCTGCCCCACAACATAGTGAGCAGGCCGCGATGCGATGAAGTGCGTTCCGGCCAGAAACTGGCCGGAACGCACTATTTCTGGTGTGACTGAGGCCTTAGGATTTCAGTGCAGCATTGTCAGCACATTACAGGAAATTGGAGCACACTGGATTTCTGGCAGATCCTGCACACAGGAGTTGCATCCTTGAGGTGCCATAAATGAGTTTGTATGGTGCGTGGCTCTTGCACTGTACACAAAAACAAACATTCTCCCCCTCTCTGCTGGGCTGATTCCCATCCCACCTTCCTGTACCCCTTCCGGCAACATTGTCCCTAAAGTAAAACTGCATTTGCAATAAACATGATACATTAGTTCTTGTGCTGGTGCCTTTTAAAGCTTCAAGGCTGTTCACATCAGTGCGTTGTGCTATCTTGCTGTATTCACGTGTTAGCAGTTGCGTTAAGACGGCCTATTCACTTTGATTGTGCTGCTAACGCGCATAAAGTGGCCATGTATCATGCTTTCCTCAACATATTGTACCACAATGCACAGATGGTTCACATCCGTGTGGTTCTGTGCACTATCATGCAAATATGCTATGCTGGGCTGCTTGGGTACATTGGGGTGCTGTTAAAAAGGAATGTTAGGCAATGCACCACACCCAGAACACAGCGCCATTGAGTGGTCAGGGAAGACTGGTGTGCATGGCTCGTTTAGAACCATGGCCACCATTGACATCAAAGTTCTCAAACTATCAATTTAGAACCTGTTGGAATTGTTTCCATCACGGTGGTCACATGTAGACTTGGTAGAGGTAATTGGGAGAAGGGGGGACCTTTTTAATGTCACTTTAAGGTGCGTTGAAGCATACAAATGAATACGCTGCATTACGCACCAAATAAGTTACATGAGATATTTTTTCTAACTCGGTGCACCACAATGCCTGGTAGTGCGATTCCAAGTGTTGTGGGCTGCAATGCATGCTGGTTAGCAAGGTGCATTGGGTAGCCATTAGGAATGAAGAGCTAGCTAGAAGTCGGATGGTTTTATTTGGTGCTGTTGAAAAGGAATGTTGAGCATTGCACTACACTCAGGACACAGCGCCATTGAGTGGTCAGGAAATAATGGTGTGCATGGCTTGTTTAGGACCATGGTGGTCACCATTGACATTGTCAAACTATCAATTTGGAACCTGTTGGCATGGTTTCCATCATGGTGGTGTGCATGGCTCGTTTAGGACCATGGTCATAAAAAGCAATGTTAGGCAATGCACCACACGGTTTTATGTGTTACCAGGAAAATAAAATAGCAAAAACAAAAAGATTGAATTTGCTCCATTAATACTGGATTGCTTGTGATTCCATTGTGGGTGTTTAACACTCGCTGGTCAGATGCAGCAATTTCTGTACGTCGGCTTTTAGCAGCACTTTAAGTCGAGGGTGTAATGTTACACCGAGGACAGAACAAGAATTCTCCGGTGGCTCAGCATCTGTGAACTTTTCTTTATCATCTCTTTTTCAAACCCAAAGCTCTTTCCGTGGAACGGTGATCTTGACCTGATGGTGTCTTTCTCTTGGGGAACGCAAAATATCATTTTTTTATTTATTTTTTTACAAGCCTTGTAACTTCAGGCTGCTTTTGGAAAATACCATGAGAGCAGAATATTTGCATTTCCAGAGAACTTTCACATGAGCACAGAATACAATTTCACAAATTAGAATCTTTGCACTTGGGTACCTTTCCTACAGGTAAAATGCTAATTATTATTATACAGGATTTATATAGCGCCAACAGTTAGTTCAGCGCTTTACAATATGCGTTGCCTAGGTACATTGGGGTGCTATTCAATAGGAATGTCATGCAATGCAGTAACGTCAAGATAATAAAATGCCAATAGCGTTAAAAACAATATCTAATGCTATTTGCCGCATTGATATCGGTATGCTAAAGATTCCATTTTTGTTGTTTAACACTTACAGGACCCTTTTTTTTCCCTTTGTATTGGGGTGCTGTTCACAATAAATGCCAAGATAATAAAATGTTCAGACAGATAAAAGTGATTTGCTCCTTTGGTAATAGGTTGGTAATGGGTTTAACACTTGCAGGACTTTTTTTTTTTTTACATTGGGGTCCAATACACAATGAATGTCATGCAATGCATCACACTGTGTTAAAGCGGACCTTCTACCCATATCTATAAAATAACAGCAAACACACCTTTTAGAAATGTTTAGCAATGACAATCTACACACAGATACTTCTAGATAATTGCCGGCTTTGTGTTCTTTGCATATCTTATTTCTCTTTTCTTCCCCAGTCTTCTGACAGTGGCCAGGTTAACTAAGGGCAGATTACTAGCTCTCCTTTCACTTCCTGGATTTCTGGCACACGTGACTAGGACATGTGACCATGCACATCATCTCAGGGGAGCAAAATGCCTTTCCCTGAGACCCTATAAAATTATAGATGAGATTTCCCAGCAATGCTCTGGTGAGTTGATGATGAAAACAAGCTTCAAACAAAAGCTTAATCTTTTTCCCACACCAAGTGTCCACGACAGAACTCCCCTCTGGGATGCGCACTCACCAGACCCACGGTGTTTGTAGGCAAACGAGATAAGAAGCCAATAAGTAGTCCCAGCAGCCGTCTCGGCGTCACATGGATCAGTATTTAGCAAAAAGAAAAAACTCCTCATAGTGTAATCGACATCAACATTTATTTTAAAAAAAAGTAGTCACTTACAGTTAAAAACGATCCCAGTGTGCATTGCTTTGGCAAACTGAAGTCTTTTTGCCCTTTCAAAGCAGGAAGTGAATGCTCTGCAAGTGTAAGTATTTCAAAGTCGCAGCATTTTGCACCTGACATGGCTGTTATTAACCCTTTCGCTGCCAAGGCCTTTTTTTTTGTTTTTTGCACACACGATGTAATCCACATTTTAAACCTGAAAATTAATTCAAACCCCCAAAATGTATATTTTCTGAAAGCCAACATCCTGTAGCATAAAATGATGGCAGTTGCAAATTTTTATGTTGCAAGATATCGGCTTAACTCTTTATCAAACCCAGAAATGTAGTGAAAAATGCACTTAAGTAAATGTTGGTGCCCCAAAACACAATAAAATACACATGTTGCTTTGGGAAATATAAATGATGAGGTTACAACGAGTAAATAGATATCCAACATGCCCGGTCAAAAAATTGTGTGTATCCGTGAAACGGCAACAAAATTCGGTACCCCAAAAAGTCCACAGATGACGCTTTTAAAAGCCCCCACAGGTCATCAGTTTAGAGATGTGGGTAAATATTGGTTCTAGAATTATTGCTCTAACTCTGGCATGCACGGCGATACCCGACGTGTAGCGCGATCTACGTTTTCGTACGTAGGCGCCCCTGATGCGCGTTTGCTTGATTGCGCTGGCGGGGGACTTTAAAAAAGTTTTATTTTTACATTTATTCTATTTTATTTTTTAGAGCAGTGTGGGGGCTTTGTTTTTGTTTTTTTACTTTTTCTACTTTACTTTAATTGCTATCACATAGAGGGGCTTACATGCCCCCCCCCCCCAAGGTGATACTGGGTGTCCAAAACACCCCCAGGGTCACCTTTAGTGCAGATCGCACTTCAATAGCTTGATGCTGGGCTTCAGGAGCCGATCAATGACAGCTCAGGGAACTGAAGCGATGCAATCCGCGTCGCTGCCGGTCCCATAGAATGGGGAGGAGATCGGTGAACAGATGTCCACCTCTCTCTTTCCCGCCGACACCCGATATGCCAGTCCAAGGCCCCCAGGAGGGGAAGCGGAGCCCGGGAAACATGGCGGGTGGGTGACAGATACTTTACCGGCCCATGGAAGTGACTTGGAGGCAGCTGAGCCTCCAAAATGGCTTCTATTGTAAAGCCGGCTTTACAAAGGTAAACAGCAGAGTTGGCCGCTGGGAGTCGGTTTACGTTGCAGTAACGCCCAGATTCAATGCCTATAGATGTAATTTGCTCCATTGTTTTCTGGTTTGCTAATGATTCCATTGTGGCCGTTTGACACTTACAGGACTTTCTTTTTTTCTGTACCGGTCAGGTCAGATGCAGCAATTTTTATAAGTCTGCTTTTTGCAGCTTTTAATGTTGAGGGAAATATTACACCGAGGATATAACAGGAATTCTCCGGTGGCTCAGCATTTGTGAACTTTCCGTGGAACAGTGATCTTGACCCGACAGTGTCCTGCTCTTGGGGAACGCTAAAATATCATTTTCTTAACAAGCTTTGCTATCTTCAGGCTGCCTTTTGGAATACAGAGAAAAGCAGAAAATTAAAATTTTTCTAAAAAAATTCACATGTGCACAGAACACAATTTCACAAATTAGATGCTTTTCACTCCGATAGATCTGTACAGGTGTTGAATTGGTACAAGAACTAAAATCTTTGTAGATTTAATAAAAACACCTAAAGAAATGAAATAACCCAGATTTTGAACTGTGGGAAAATTCCCCTTGTGTGCTCGTATCTCTTCAGGACTTCAGTGGTGACATCTCTGTACTCTGAATTCAAATGTTTACCCATCCATGCTGTCATCATAAGATGATTTTGAGGACAAAGTCTCTCCTGTATCCAGGCAAAACATAGAAGCTGCAGGATGTGGGATAGAACCCACCTGGTTGCTGACCTGGAAGGGTGTCAAGCATTATCTAGTTCTTTTCCCCCCAAACTGTCCATGGCCCATCCCTTTCATTCATTTGATGACAGTTATTTTAATCATGGAGGCTAAGCATCCCACGTGGGCATTACCTAGGGCAGGGGTAGGCCACCTTGGCTCTCCAGCTGTGCTGAAACCACAAATCCCATCATGCTTCTGCTCTGGGAGTCATGCCTTTGGCTTGCAATGCTTTATGGGATTTTTAGTTTCAGGACAGCTGGAGAGCCAAGGTTGCCTACCCCCAGACCTAGGGTGATCTGCATTCAGTCTCCTGCAAACTGACACCCATCCATGAATGCGTTTTGATATTTGCATAGCTCCTCCCAAGAGCAAGACCACTTCTTGCATCAAGGCTGAGGGTATTGAGATGAGTACTGAGGCGGGGTCCTATGATGTACAGCATTGTAACAGCCAGGAAACTAGCATTCTCATAAGAGGTCATCAGTGGCAGCCCCTGCATGGAAGGTGTTCTTTAAACTTCTGTGCAAAACCCAACCCCAGATCTCGTATGGTCTAAGAGGACTAACCCCAGATCTCGTATGGTCTAAGAGGACTAACTAGGACTGGTAATGATTAAAATTTTCGTGTTCGATTAATTATAATGCACATACAGATCCAACTACATTGGCCTATACACATACAGCACAGCAATGAAGTAATACAATGAACTAGGATCACACTAATCCAGCACGTTATTAATCTCACGTGCCCCACTCAATATGGCCGCCGCTTGAGTGGGGCAACTCAGAATAATAACGTGCTGGATTAGTGTGATCCTAGTTCATTTTATTACTTCATTGCTGTGCTGTATGTGTATAGGCCAATGCCTTGGAGTTTGGTCCACACTTGTGGGCACACTGACCAGCTGGGAAGATTGTAGAAGAAAGGTTTGAAGTCAATTGGCAGACTGCACAGTGATGTTCCCTTTTACAAGTATAACCTATTTAAAAATTGATAGGGCAGAACAAGTTTCTTGGGCAAACTCACCGGCCCAAGTGGCTTCGTCGGCTAACAAAGGGAAGGGGGGAGGAGTTCGGTGACGATGTCCGTGACGTCACCGAATCTCCGACGGGACTCCCGGAAGCCGGCGGAGAGGTGAGTTTTTTCGTTAGCGATCAAAAGCATTTTAATCGATCAAAAATTTTAACGATTAATCAAGGAATTAATCGTTAATTTCCACAGCTCTAGTACTAACCCCAGATCTCGTATGGTCTAAGGCTGGGCACACACCTTACAACCATCGCAAGACTTTTGTCTTGCGATGGTTGTAAGGTAATTAAAAAAACGTGCAATGTGCCTATCTTGGACAGGCGGATCGTACTTGTGGTGATCGCAATGTCGAAAGGGCAGTGTGCGCTTTTATCTTGCGAGCATGCCACAAACCAGCCGAACATCGTACGATGGTCGGCTGGTTTTTTTGGGGGGTTTTTTTTTCCAGGTCGGCTGGTTTTCAAACATGTTCCTAAGGTAAAAGTCGTGCGACCTTCCAGTAGCAGAGGTCACACGGCTCCCACACACCTTACGATAATCGTACGATTGTGGGATTTCCCACGATTATCGTAAGGTGTGTGGGCACCTTTACAGTACTAACCCGAGATCACGTATGTTCTATGAGTACTACTACTAACCTTTGTATAGTTTTTCTTTAAGTTCTCCCCACACCCCTGAGTGCTGCCCACTAGGTCAAATTCTTCTTCAGCCCTAAACCTGAGTATGACCCCACTCAGTCATACTCCGAGCAACTCTTTGAGGCCAACATAAGGACCCAGTTGGAAGCTCTGTGGACAGTAGACAGAGTTTGGAATAAACCAAGTATTTATTACATACTTGCTGTGGAGCTTGTTAAATGTCTCCCCTTTGGGAGCAGCTCAATAAGGTTACTAATGTTAATATATGTTCTCTTGCAGATTATACAAATTTAACAAGGTTTCCTGATTAGCTCTACGTTATCTGTAATATGCGGTTAGTTTATTAAAAGTGTTTAAACAGTGATTCCACTTGCGTCTCGACAGGGCGGCTGCTGGAGCAGAATTTTATTGCTTTAAAGACCTTAAATGACCTTTTTGTATTGAAAAACTTTGTTATAGGTTAAATAGTATTGCCCTTTTCTTCCGTCTCCGAATTCCTCTGTTTCCATTGTTCTGACCATTTTTTTTCTTCCTGGCTCTCAGCATGACCTAATTATCATTCACTCATCGTGGGATTCATAATTATCATTTCTTAACGAAACAAGTTTTTCATCAGGCAGCACATTCCGCCTGCAATTATCTCAAGTGTTACAATAATTGCATGATGTTAGATGGGGTTTTTTTTTTATTGGTCAAGGAAGGAGGATTACAAAGTTCTGTTTTGGTCTGCTGCCAGGGGATAGAATATATGCTACAGAGAGGCAACATCCCTGCTTTCCCGGGATAAAGTCTTGCACCTCCTCAATGTCATTATTGTACCGAGTTCTGCACTTTTATGATTCTTTTGTTCTTGTGTGACTTAGACTTTCTGCAGCCTGCTAAAGACCGTCCAGAAACATCTGCGGTTCTTGCAAGGAGACTGGTGATTAGTGCCTTGGGAGTGCGGAGTACCCAGAGCCGAGCTGAAAGGGAGGCAGAGCGCAAGAAGCTACAGGAAGCCAAAGGTGAGAGGAAGCAATTAGGTTGTAGAGTCTTCTGTTCTCTAGAATTCTGTTGTTAACAGCTGCTGAGTCTGTCAAGCTGCATTAAGTGTCACAATCTTCACGCTGCATATGCACACGCTACTTATCACTCCTCGCTGGCTGGAGATGAGCAAGGCTTATGTCTGAACGCAATTGTTTTGCTCATGTCCTGCTCGTATACCGGGTGCATTTATCATAATTGTATGTTGTTTGTACTGCTGTCCATATGGATATATGCTTTAAAGCCATTTAATTTCCTACTTAAAGGAGAACTATGGGGTTAAGTCTTTTCCCCATAGTTCTCCTTAGGGTAACGGGAGGACACAAACTAGCGTCCTCCCGTCACCCTAGGCTCAGTATACCGCGAGCTGTAGCTGTATACTGAGACGCTGAAGCGGATCCCGACAATTATGCCGGGATCCGTCAATTGGGGGGTTTTGATAATCAAAATATATTGCAAACGCAAATCAGATGTGTTTCCTGTAGCAGGTAGTTTGGTGCCTGCATTTGTTTATTATCAGCATTAGAAATTGACAATTTATATACAGACCCCTGAAACCTGTAAAAATGTTTTTTTTCCCCTACCGAAGTATCCGAATTGCCTTTTAAAGCTCAACTCTTGGAACTAAGCAAACCCCTTGCAGTGGAAATTTCCCTGTACTATTACTTTTCCTCCAGGGTACTAGTAAAAAGCAGTTATTACTTATCCTATACCAGTGGTGGCGAACCTTGGCACTCCAGCTGTTCCAAAACTACAAATCCCAACATGCACCTGCCTCTGGGAGTTATGTCTGAGCCTTGCAATGCCTCATGGGACTTGTAGTTCCAAAACAGCTGGAGTGCCAAGGTTCGCCACCACTGTTACCTTGCTCCTGCAGGCCCCTCCTTCCATATGACTAGCCTTCTGAAGCCTCTACTCTTCGGTGCTCCGCATGGCAGTTGCAGCTGTGAGGTCATCACGTACAATGCAGGACAAACAGCCCTGCATTGTAAGTGAGGTCACTGAGGGCCCATCCACAACCTGGCAGGTCGGACAGAACAGAAAAGCGCTGGCTGCTGGAGGAGCAAGGGGTAAAATCTTGTATGGTCTAAGAGGACTAACCCCAGATCTCGTATGGTCTAAGACAGTGAAGGACTAACTGGGACTGGTAATGATTAAAATTTTTGTGTTCAATTAATTTTGATTAATTATAATGCACATACAGATCCAACTACATTGGCCTATACACAATGAATAAGTAATGCAATGAACTAGGATCACACTAATCCAGCACGTTATTAATCTCACGTGCCCCACTCAATACGGCCGTCACTTGAGTGGGGCAACTCAGAATAATAACGTGCTGGATTAGTGTGATCCTAGTTCATTTTATTACTTCATTGCTGTGCTGTACTATAGGCAAAAACAAGGTTTTAATCCTTGCAGTATGAGGAGAGCCCTGCTGCAAGGGTAGTATTTTGCGTTCCCCAGAGTTCAGCTGTAGATTGTGAGAAATTTAGAAATGGAGGCTGTCATTACTGACCCTTCCTACTGCTAGCTCTCATGCCAGTTATCTGGTTTCAGTATTTTGAAGCCAAACTCCAGACAGATATAAAAGACACGGCTTTAATGAAGCTCTGTATTCATTAATCATTTAAAGGGTTTCTAAACCCTCCGGTTTTTTTTTTTGCATATATCTACTGCTAGCAAGCAGAAGATGTATGCAAAAAGTTATAAAAAAAACAACTTTACCACGTCTTTGCTCCCGCCCGAAAAGCCAAAACTGTTTGGGCGGCCGCAAAGCATCTTGGGGCGGGAGTTCAGATTTTCAGCCGGGAGTCGAGACGTAAGGTAAGTCTATGGACGCGTGCACCCGCATGCAGAGACCGTGGGACAGGAAGTGCCAGCAAGGACAAATGAGTCAGCGCTGGATCGGACACCCGCCGCAGCGCTGGAGAGAAGGCTTAAAAGGACTGGAAAGAAGAGGAAGATCGGATTAAGAGACATCATTTAAGGTAAGTGCTGACATTAACATTGGGGCGAGGGAAAAAATTTTTTGACTTTAATGTCACTTTAATTTTGGTTTTCGTTAAAAAGAGACATATTGGGAAAGTAAAATGTACTCTTACCAATACTTGGGCGCCAACATGTAACACAGCAGCTGTCATACACTGACTCTATAGATCAAGAACTGAGCGAACATAAACTGCTGATCGCGCAGCTCACAGCCTTCTCCCTGCAGAGAGCGGTGACTGTCAGTCATCACTCCCTGCAGGGATTCCCCCCCTCCGTTCCACCAGCACTCATTGTTGGTGGCGGGCTTAGCTGGCTCTAGCTCTAGAGAGGCAGAGCCAGCTGTCGATCAGGCAACAGGGTGGATCCCGACAATATTGTTGGGATCTTTCCTGACTACAGCACGGCTGTGCACCGTCAGCGAATAGCAGACGGTAGCCCGCTAGATGCTGACTTTGAGTCACAGGAGTGTATTAGTCAGTGTACCCCTTTAACCCAAAAGAGGACTAAAGCAAAAAAAAAAAAAAAAAAGTTTGGCTTTAGTTCTATAAGTATTATCCTAATTTGGTACCATCTTTTTACCCTATAGAAAGTACTCTGGAGAGGGTGAGACAGGACTGGGAGCCAATCATGTGTGCTGCATGAAAATGTGTTTAAGAAGGAGAATGTTTATAGGAGGAGAGCGTGCTTATGCACAGTTCAGTGTACATTGTCATTAGGAAGGCAAACTCTGCTCTTTTCTATTTTAATGTCCATACTTTAATGTCTATAAAGTTTTAAATCTCATAGCTCAACCAGTGTCAATGCTGTATATAAGAAGTAAAAATAAACCTTTCATACATTTACTTGAGTTGGAATGTATCTTCATGCAGCTCACTTCCTCAGGAAAGCCTAGAAATACAGATGTCATGCGAGGACAAACTAAGTGAATAAATCGGGGACATGGAGGTAAAATATAAGCAGGAGTAAAGGTTTAAAAGGATGTCACCAGCAAACCAATCCAGCCCTCTCTAGAGCGTCAGATGTTTTTATCCCACTTTGTGAGTCTTTGTGTTGTTTTCTGGCACCTCAAGCACAGAAATTGCAGCACTGGAAGACCCCAAGAGTTGTTGGAAACAGTCAAGTGTTTTAATGCTCCGGCATCTACAAAAAAAATTTTTTAACAGTGAACTTAACATCTCTGGACAATTTAATTGACATGACTGAAATTCCACTTTGTCTTCAGGGAAATCTGTACCTGTAAGTACAGCTTTTACCTTCCAGGTATGATATTCCAATAATAAAATCAATGAACCATGCAGAAATTCACCTGCTGAACTCTGGAAACGAGAACCTTTCACTACTACCTAATGAGGCAGTGCAGAGAACGACGATGTATTAAATCTGATCACTAGAGATGAACAAATAATGGAAAAATCAAATTTGGCAACAATTTGTTCAATGTGCTCCTGTGATCAGTTTGGCAGTGTTGCTCCCAATTTTTTCAAGGTTTTTAATATTCTTTTACAACATAGCCGCCTACCCCAAAAGGATACAGACTTGGAGTAACGGCATGCAAGCTGGTATTTCCATAACAAGAACGCCCTAATGATGTAGGTCCCTCTGCCCTATTAATACAAGCTGACTTGTGCATAGCAGACAGGCCCCATTTTAAAATGCCGGGCATCCTCATCAGTATCCAGTGGATCCCTCAGGGCCTGTGCCGATGGTATCCATTTCAGTCGCTTCTAAGATAATTTATAATTTATTGACAAGTGCATTTGTCCTGACCTAAATTTGACGTGCTTCAAATGGGTTTTTCGTTCCCATACACTTGTATGAGAATGCAAAACTCAACAAAGGCCCATTTGGCACTGACCCTTACCAATGCACCATGACACAAGACTTTCTCAGCTGTATATAAAACCCTCATTATATTCACCACAGCTATGGTCTGAAGACTACTTCTAGTCATCATTTATAGGTGTACTGTAGGAAAGCTCCAGCATGCCTTATGTGGCTACGGTGTCTAATGTTGTTAGTACTAAGGCTAGCTAGGTGTAGGGAGGGCAGAGGAAGCACAAAACAGTGTTGCTCCCAATTTTTTTAAGGTTTTTAATATGCTTTTATAACATAGCCGCCTACCCCAAAAGGATACAGGGGTGGTTTAATGGGCATGCAAGCTGGTATTTCCAGAACGAGAACACCCTAATGATGTAGGTCCCTCTACCCTATTGATTTAAGCTGACCTGTACATAGCAGACAGGCCCCATTTTAAAATGCCAGGTATCCTCATCAGTATTTACTAGATCCCTCAGGGCCTGTGCTGATGGTATCAGTTTGAGACACTTCTAAGGTCATTTAAAATGAATTGCATTTGTCCTGACCTGAATTTGAACATCTTCAAATGGGTTATTCATTCCCATATACTTGTATTGGAATGTAAAACCCAACAAAGGCCCATTTGGCACTGACCCTTACCAATGCACCATGACACAAGAAGGCTTGTGTCATGGTGCATGTGTGTATATAAAACCCTCATTATATTCAGCTATGGACCGAAGATCTCTTCTAGTCGTCATTTATAGGTGTACTGTAGCAAAGCTCCAGCATGCCTTATGTGGCTATGGTATCTGGTATCTAATATTGTTACTAAGGCTAGCTAGTATTACCCAGGTGAAATGGATATGTAAATATATTCCAATGACTACAATAATATTCACATAAACACCCCTAGATCTGAGGATTCTTAGACAAAAGAAGTAGTTCCATCAGCAATATACATTTATTGGTAGGGTTACATATTTACAAATAACACACAAAACAATATTTACAAAACAATGTACAGGTGTGGTGGAGTTTTACCTCTCAGCTTCTCGCCTGTTCATACTGAATGCCTTTATGTTCCAGGTAAAAAAGAGAGCCCGTGGCTTGCTAACAATACCTTTTAATATATCCTCCTTTCTGTACACTGTCTACCAAATGTACATTGGGCGTAACCTGATTGGAGGATTTAAATGATGTTGTTGTTTACCCCCCATGTGAGATGTGATAAGCAAACAAAACAATAGCTAGGACTTTAAAGCAGACAGATTCACAGTAACACTATTGAGGAACTGAGAGTCGCATAACATGCAGATAGATGCAGTCAAATATATATATTAATTTATCTAATTTAATATATTACACAAGCAAAACTTTATATGGCAACACTAGGTGTTGGGAGTGCGGAGGAAGCACAAAACATTTTACTTTGGCGATTAGGATGTGTAAATCCAAACCAATTCTACCAACACCTTGCTTGTCCACACCTCTTCCCTACCCAATGTGGTTACATAGCTGGTCAGGTATAAAAAGACACATCCATCGAGTTGAACCTATAAGTATAGTAAGAGAGATGCACACCCCAAAGCGGTATGCAGAGTGGTAAGAGTTGTTTTTCAGTAAACTGACACCTATCAACACTGCAAAATGTGGTCACTGAAGTTTTATTCAACCCTGGACATAATGGGGTTAAGCTCCCTGAGGAGTGCACAAGCTGCTTTTCCAGAAAACCTGTCTTGAGAAAAGTGTGGAGGATGCCCCTACACACTCTGAGGCCTCTGTCCTTGGGGATACCACCCCATATCCTGGGTTGGTATTGGTTTCAGTTAGCGCAAGTCAGAACGATCCGAGTTGATTCGTTGCCGTGAGTGACTGAACTTTGCAGATTTCTCTTTGCCTCATCAAATAAACAAGTGTGTTTTTGATGTGAGCATGAATTCCAGACCATGTTTATGAAGGCGTCCTGTTAAATCAAAGAAGCAGCACGCTCTCTGCTCTGGCCTGGATTTGCTGTGCCACAGTTATGAACTTGTAACTGTGATGGTGACATGTGTTGACAAGCTGTGAAACCTTGGCGGAATCAGCTATTCTGAGGAATCGTAAAGGAAATACTGCTCTCCAGTGAATTTATCCTGGATGTTACATGTTTGTTGATTAATATTTAGTGAGGTAGAACAAAGCAGTTGTCATGTCTAACAGATGCTCTTACTAATGTTCTTCCCAGGTGATTACATGCATCTGCTTCATTTTTCCTGATAATGTCCTCCGTAGATGGCACCTTTCTTGATCTGCTTTGTGGTTTGAAAAGTTAATAGACATTCTGAATATCGGGAATACTTTCTTAATAATTGTAACCTATTTTTTCTGACGTTTTTTGACTTTTTGTCACTTAAAGCAGAACTTAAAGTGACATTAAACCCTCCGATTTTTTAACATAAACCAATACTGTAATGTGTGCCTTACCGTAATCCATGGCAGTTTCCCTTCTCTTTGCTGCTCTTCCTTTTTAAATCGTTATCTCTTCTGATCGATTCTCCTAAACAGAGCAAGGTATTTTTTTTCTCTTTTTTTTTTAAACAAACGTTATTGCTTATGTTTTTTCAATGAATAAGTTGTTTATGAAAAAACATAAGCAATAAAGTTTGTTTGAAAAAAAGAGAAAAAAAATACCTTGCTCTGATTAGGAGAATCGATCAGACACGAGCACAGCAGAAAAGAGTAAAACAACGGCACATGCAGGCAGCAGCTGTTGCCAATCTAAAGTGGGCGGGGATGTGGATGTCGGGAGGACGTCATCCTGTAGTCCTTGCTTAGGTCGGGAGCCATGCAACATTCCAGAGAAAAGGCAGTCAGCTGCAAAACGGTTGTTCTCCCCAGCATGAGAAGAGATAAGGATTTAAAAGGAAGAGCAACAAAGAGAAGGGAAACTACCATGGATTACAGTAAGGCGCACGTTACAGTATTGGTTTATGTTAAAAAAAATCTGAGGGTTTAATGTCACGTAAAGCCAAAAATATTAAAAATATTTTATCTTTTTTTATTATCCTATTAAAATATAAAATAACATCAGCTTTTTGTTAAAATAGTTCACTAAGTTCAGAGACTTCCTCTGCAGTACTCAGTCTGATGGCAGGCATTTTATTTATTATAGGTATTTATATAGCGCTGACAATTTACGCAGCACTTTACATAGTTGCACATTCACATCAATCCCTGCCCTCAAGGAGCTTACAATCCCTAAGGTCCCTATCTCACCTCTCTCATACAAACAAGAGCCAATTTAGACAGGAGCCAATTAACCTACCTGGGATTTGTCCTGACTGGGATTTGAACCAAGGAGCCCCAGTGATGGAAGGTAGAAGTGCTAACCACTGCGCCAGCAACTTTAAACCCTCTTCCTCTGAGTCAAGGTTGCCCTTGACCTTCCCCAGCCTGTAACTGGACAGTGAAGGGAGAAGCAGCACAGCAATGAGCTCATCTCTCTGTCACTCTGCTTTCTCTTTCCATCAGCGTGCTCCTTGTCAGTAAATTAGCTGATTTGGCTCCTTGTAGTGCTTCTTCATGTCACACTCCAACGCTACTCTACAGGGACTGCATGGGGCTAATAAACTGTAAACTGTAGTAGGCTTTTCATACAAGACTGGGCCCTTTTTGTTTTCCAAGTACCCCCTGGAACATTTTGCAAATACTCATTGGTAGAACCATTGTAAGGGCACTAACTTTGATAGGGTGACAACGCTGTTCCTTCTGTAGTGAAATTACATTATCATGGTCAACCTTGCTGCTCTTTTAGCTGTTGCTACCTTAGCCCTATTAATAAACAGCCACACCTAGCTCCAACCACAGCCCATTCACATTGCATAACTTAAACATTTTTTACATGTAATAGATAGCCAGAGCCAGCAGGGCCGACTATCAAGGTGCAATAACCACAACAGTTTGATTCCTCCGTCCACACTGTTTAGTGAGAATAGAGGAATCTGTTTGATTAAAAAAATAAAATCTTAACAGTGTATAGCCACCTATTTATACTTATTTATCATAACCCAATAGGCTCACTTCAGGAAAAAGTTTTTGTTTAAACAGTTAACCTTGTGCCTTGTGAACTAAAGGCCATATACTTAATTCATAAACATACACACACTTCCAGAATTTTAACATTGTCATGTGTTTTCTGGAGTAGATATTTTCATTGTTGTTCTCCAGTAGTTAAAGTATTTTGCATGCTGCTTCAAGGAGAGAACCAGCAGATGGCGCTCGCAGAGCTACATGATAACCTTATACATACAGTACACCAACAGCAGTCTAGCAGGTTGCACTCCTTGGCATGCATCATAGAAAAAAAAGCAGAATTCTACTTTAAAGTCTGAATATCAAGTACCAGGATGACTGCAGAATTGCAGTAGATTCTAAGAATATCATTGTAAAACAATTGTGTTTTTCCTTTTTATTCTGTTTTCATTTTTCAACAACATGGGCACATTTTTGCTATTCTTCTTTAGCCCTTTGAACCGCCTGATCGCTTTTATTGGGCTCGGTATGTGCTCCCCTCCAGATCCCTCCTTGTGTACTGACAAAAGCTCCGAACTACAACAGATACTTTCAGGATGGGGAGCTTAAAGGAGAATTATGAGGTGAGTGATTTCCACTCATACTCATAGTTAGAGCCGACCTGTGACAAAGAAGCTGTCACGGGTCTTCTCTTTCGATCGGGAAGTGAGCAGAAACATGCAGCGATCCGCTCACTTCCCGATCGTCTCCCTGCAGTGAGCACTCACAGTATGCCCGCGATATACTGAGCTTTGGGTCACGGGAGGACGCTAGTTTATGTCCTCCTGTGACCCTTAAGAGAACTATGGGGAAAAACACTAAGGCCTGGTTCACACCTGGGCGTTCTGTAGCGCATTCGAACGCTCTGCAAAACGCTTATTTCCTATGGGTATGGTTCATACCTGGGCGTATTACAGGCCGTATGAACGCGCTACAAAACGCCCTACACCGAAAGAAATACAGGAGCTTCTTTGGGGCGTTTTTGTCACTCGTTTCCATTGGGATACAGCCAAGTAGCCCTCGGAAACGCGCGTTTGTCGCAGCGAATCGCTGTAAAAACACGCATATTCGATACACCTAGGTGTGAACCCAGCCTTAGTTCTCTTTTAACTATTTACAAAAATGTATCTTATTTGTGTATCACTCGGCTGTAGATCCTCAAATCATCTCTGAATTGGTGCTGACACTGTCCTTCCTTCTGGAGGGTGGCTACTTTTGTTCCCCATGATCTCTGTGTGTGTTGTAAAGTAGCCACCGCTCCAAGCTCACTCCTGTGATGAACTACAATCATTAGTAAACTAAACGTGAGATTGTAGTCCGTCACAGGAGTGAATTCTGTATCCTTTCAGAGTGCATATGCTCTTTCTTGAATGGGCGGTTTTATTTCTGTGGTAGCATAACTCTGAAATTCCTTGGACAATAAAATCTGCCGTAAAAATTGGATTTCATTTAATTTGTATCTAAATTTGTTTTCAGCACGGCGGCATCTAGAAGCAAAACAGCGTGAAGATGCCTGGGAAGGGAAGTGATGGCATCGCTCTTGGAATACAGCATCTCGAAAAACGGACATTGGTTTTTAAATCCAGAGGATTAAAATTGTATATCTCTTTATTTTTTTTTATAGACTCGACATTGTAAGAGTGTAAGTCGCAAAATTGTAACAAAGTGTTTAGAGAATTGTTCCTTGGACTTCTTGCCAAAGTCTTACTTTTGAAATGTTCTTTTCAAAATGGTTTATTAAAAGGGTCAACACACGTAACATGAATATTTCAGTAGGTTAAAGCTAGACTCTGGACAAAAAAAATCTTTACCCCTGCTTGTTTTTTCTTAGGGGATGATTATATACACGGTGATCATCTTACCTTATTCATGGTTTCCATGGCAGCCGGTACTATCTGCTGCTGTCTTATGTTAATGCCGTGATCAAGGGGTGCTTGGGGATCTTACCTGTGAACTTTGAGCTGGAGATGTATTGGCCAGTAGGAGGGTGATCTTGAAAGCAGAAGTATCTGTTTTGGAGGAAGTTAATCTTTAGCCCACATGTGCTTTCATTGTGTAATTATATAGTTATCATCCCCACATTTGCTTATTTTATGGTTGGTTTTGTCTCATTATATATTTTTGGAAAGTATACCCCTTATCCTGGTGTCAACCTACGTAAAAGGAATTTATGAAGATAAACACATGGGAGCTGCCATGATGGTGCAAGCTTTGCTGTCATGTTTATCCTTTCTTTACAAATGAATAAGCCACCAGAAATATGAAGCCATTGAAATGTTGGCTTCCGTGTTTTGTATTCTGACAAGTTCCTATTGGTCTAGAACTGGAAGCAGAATGCACCTTGAAAACAAAGGTCCTTGAGTTTAAATCTGGAGCAGAGAGACCGAGAAGCTGTGCATTTCCTAATGTTCCCATAAAATGTGTTTATAGTGGAAGGTCTAGTGTAACATTCAAGTGATAAATTACTGACTTTCTAAAGGACTTAATTATCATGAGGAAAACCACTGGAGTGAAAATAGTTCTTCATTCAGGACTCAACCCAGCACCCGCTATGTGACGTGTGCCTGACCTAAAGCAATAAGTTCAGCCGCTCATTTCTCTCCCATCGTTTTTATACGCGTGAAATAACCTTTACGATGAAACATTTCGTGACATGTTTGGTTGTGCGAGTAGCGGAGGACAATTAGACCTGAAATGTAAGTTGATCTTTCGACTTTCACAAGCGATCGAATATATAATGTACGCAAAGGGGTGTACGGAGAAAGCTCATCACCCTATTTGCATAGCTTAATTTTTCGTAATGCCTTGATAGAAGGTGCCTATAAATTTGTCTCGCTCTGGTGTTAGAATTTTTCTTCAGGATCCTTTAAATCAGGAGCTTGCTTTACTAAGCAACTGTTTGCATCTCACCTGACCTCATGACATAACCTGACCACATGGCATAACCCTCAGATGTTTTCAGAAATCAAAGACAAAAAAATTACCTACTTATGTGTTTCTCATTACAAATTTTCAAGTCTTTTACACGTGGAAGAATTGAAAAGATTAGAATAAAAGCTCTGTGTACGGGCAGGCAGTTTCTCCTCTTTGCATGTCATTGTGGCTTATCTGCATCAAGACCAGAACAACTATTGCTACAATAAATCACAAAGCCTCATTCAGACTGGTGGCATGGAGGCAATAAAAACAGACAGTTGATCTCCATTTTTACCCCCCACCTAAAAGCAGCCACCTAGGTTTGTCTACATGCCACGGCTACGACGATTTACACCGCAGCCACTGCGGATTTTAAACCGCTTGTTGCATTTGGCAGGTGGTACTCGCAATCATTAGCCAGTGGGGCTGTCCTGCAACTGTGTGGGTAGGTGGTTGCGGTGAGGTATTGTAATAGAAATTTCCCACAAAGTGTTTTTGGGTTTTTTTAAATGCATTCGGGAGGCAGCAGTATGGCCTCCTGAGCTCCGGGCAGCCAATGCTCTACCGTCCTCTTTAAAGCGATCTGTGGTGGATCGCTTTTCATAGGCTGGTAGAGCTTTGCCTGCACAGAGCTCAGGAGGCCATACTGCTGCCCCCTGAATGCCTTTTTTTTTCTTTTAATACTCAAGTGCAGTGTGTCATGGACTTAAAGTGGTGGCGTGCGGACCCTTGCGTGCCGTGTGTATTGCCATTTTCACTGCGACGCGTTAGCCTGTGAGAGCTCGCATACCTTTAGCGTGCTGATATGAAATATGTCATCTTCAGCCAATCTGCTCACATGTATATACCTACGCATCATGCGACGCCCATTGAGTTGTTGCGTGTGAGCCGATCGGGTGAAGATGGTCTTTCATCTGGTTGCGCTCAGGTAGTCTAGCTCTCACACACTGCATGCGATCGCCTTCACCTTGCTGCTCTGCACGGCTTTGCATGCAGTGTGTCACAGGCTTTAATAAAAAAAGTCTAACTTTTTGATGAACAAATGTCGTTCAGACACATCATGGCTCCTACAGACTTCTTAAGTAGAAAAAAAAGTTGCATAGAAACCGGTCTACTGCAAAATAAAAAAAGCAACAAATGAATGGTAAACCAAAAGGGTTGATTTGGGCCTTGATTTCTGCTCTGCCTCTTGTTTCTTGACAATGCAATAGCTCAGTAGCCAGTAGACGGCCCCACAATGGATTCTTGTTGTGGGGGATGGTTGTAGCTCTGAATTGGAGCGGAATTCATGGTTCAGTTGGTGCACAGGAAATCAATGGAACTTTCAACACATTTGGAAGTCAAGTGATATGTCTGGGGTAAGTAAAGGGAGGACAGAGCACGCAGGAGGAATAGATGAGCCATCACTGATTTGATTGCATCCTCAAGATTTGTCTGCTTTAATCTTACTGTACTACATGGTGAGCCACTACCTCGGAACAAGCATGTCTATATATCCGTTAATAGGAAACCGGATTTTCTCCTGGTGGTTACTACTGGTAACCACCAGGTAGAAGCATCGCAGCCCTGCAGCGCGCACCCTCAAATATGGGTTGGCCGCCCTCCTGCTGCCCTTCTTTTATAGGAAACTCCAGTTTCGTTAGCCTTTTGTGTTATCATTTCAGTTTGCAGCTAGCAGTTGCTTTCCATAACTGCCAAGAAATCTTTTTGTTTCGTTTATTTTATTTTGCAGCAAAATTAACCGTTTGTTGCAGGAATACCAGAATGTTCACCCAGTGTTCCTGTAATTGGCTCACTGCTTTCTGATTTATATATAATTGATTTATATAGAAGATGATTTGTATAGAAGATGATACTGTAAACTCCCCGTTATCCAGCATCCCCGGAGATTGGTAGGTTGTGGATAAATGTAGTTTCTGGTTGCTAGAGAACTACTATTAATAATAGGTCTAAGTAATGCCATGTCCCATACTATACCATAACATAAACTCTGCATTGACTTCATATTAATATCGAAATGCAGTAATCATTCTGGTTAGTTGAATACCGGATAACAGAGTTTTTATTGTATTTAGAATTTGGCGTCACGTCTCATATCTGCATATCCAAATCAAGTGCAACGTTAAATTTTGACACAAACCACAGGCCTAAACTATCCCTGTAAAGGTGCCCATACACTGCTCGATTCTCGTACGAGAATAGTGTGAACAAAGACGTGCGACCGTTTCTACTGTACGGTTGCACGTCTTTTGTCTAAGGAGCATGTTAGAAAACCAGCCGAGAATCGTACGATTTTCGGCTGGTTTGAACGGTGCTCGGGAGACAAATGCCGAACGGGCCGGTGTGCGCACGCGCACACTGCCCGTTCAGCATTGCGGTCATCGGAAGCCCACCCCTCAGGGGGGCGGGCTTGCGATGATCGAGAGTGCGATCTGCCTGTCCAAGATGGGCAGATCGTACGTATTTGAATCATTTTACAACCATCGCAAGACTAAGGTCTTGCGATGGTTGTACAGTGTATGGCCACCATAACATCTGTCACAGTAATTTAGATTTTTAGTTCCACCCAAAAGGCACTCCAAAATTCTGGATGGAGTACTTCCGAACTGGCTTTTTGTGCTCTTAGGGGTGCAGTGGGAGACCAGTGAGGGTACACCTGACACTGTAGTATAGTCCCATGTTCTTGAGCTTTTCATCTCTTTCAAGGCCAGTAAACATAGAACCTGTTTGTTTAATAAGCCATAGTACTGGGTTAAGTCGAGGGAGCCAAGGGAAATGTGTGTAACGCAACATTTTAAAACTTTTATTGTTTTCCCAACTAAACATTTGCTACCCAATGTCAAGGGGGAGTGCTACCTCTTTACTCAGTCTTATAGTATTGTTATACTGTGCCGCCCCTTTGCCAATAGGACTTGCTGAAATGTTGGCATGCACCTGGAGAGGGGTGATCTGCATTACACGAGGTCCTTGGGCTTGCAGGAGTCTGGGTAGGTTTTTAATCAACTCTCCGGTTACTTTGTGAATAGGTCTTAGTTGCACAGTGGACACTTATAGAGACAGTGCAAAACAGCTAATATTGTTTTACAATATTCATCATTTACCTTCTATGTCTTGAATTCCTCTGTGACTCGTGATCTGCTGCGGGCTGGGGGCGCTGTACAATGCAGTTAAAGCTGCTCCCATCCAAAGCTGTTTGCAAGCAATTGCGCATGCTGCAATTACCTGCAGACAACCACAGCTGGACGCAGACTGTCTCATGCAATCGGTGCCATTTGCAGGTTTGAATGGCACCTTACCGTCCTAATATACGTGTTTCAGTTTTTATCTATTTCTGTAACAAAAAAATGATTTTGGGCAGGGACTGATATTTTTAAGGCCATGACCAGAATACTAAAAATAAATTTTGTGAAAATATTATGTAGCACAAACTTTGAAACAGCCATAAAAAAAAGGAAAACGAGGTGGTACATAAAACTGGTCGCTTGTCAAACCATTGCAATCTGGTAGTTACAGGAAACACTTTTCACTTTTTAAAGTCAGTCCCATTGTTTAAAGAGACAAATGCCCTTTCCTGGACATGTGTTATTGCTCCCAATTAATGCCATCTCATATTTCTATTTCTTTCTGTTTTTTTAAAATATGTGAATAAAGTTCTGTCTGC